TTAAAAGGTTCTGATTGTTTAAGCTTAAGAAAAAAATCAAACACTTGTTCAGCAAGAGTGAGATTCAAGAAAAATAGATATGTTAACAAATTATACTCTATGACATGAAAGAACTGACTCATTTCTTACTTTCACTTATAATAAGAAATAAGGGGTTCATTGTTAGAATGAGATGAGAATTGGAATTAGTCTTTTTACTGAGAGTTCGCCTGTATTCTGTTGTCAACTATAGTCTGAACTTAAGTCTGGAAATGTAGGCAGTTCACCTGTCTAAGATTTTTCATTTGCAAAATACGAATTCTACTTGCATTTAATGCTAAGTAAGTTGTGGGTGTTGTTATTTTCTGTAGGTATATGATTTTCAGGCTTTTTTGCCCTCCTGCCATTAGGATTGCCCTACCTGATGGGGCACCTGCATTTGTTACATTGTTATAAGTTGTATTATTCGCGTCTGTGGACCATAGCAGTAATATTGAGATGTTCACCAAGAAAAGCAGAGGCAGGGGAGAGACAGAAGGGGAGAGAGCAAGCCAGAGAAGCCCAGAGTGAAGACTTACCCTAGGCTTGGAGGCCTCCTGGCCTCCTGGCACCCCTGTGCCCCCCCCACCCCTTCCTGCCGTGTACCTGGTTGCTGCGCTACATGTGAAAGCTCAATAAAAGCCTGAGAAAGCCACTGAGGGCCCTGGGACTCTCCTTTACCCGTCTGGTTGGCTGGAATCATAGAAAACCTGCTCTGTGCCCATCCTGCCCCTATACTTCCACTTTTGATCACAATGTCAACCATTTCATAATTGGAAGTTCTAAGATTCTATTTTCTCTGCTAGTCTCTGAACTTGATAGAGAAGCAGAGAGTGTTACAACTTGAAAAGTATGTGTAAAATATTGATTGTGCTCTATTTTCATTTTTAATTCATTGAAATGTTCTTTCTTGGGCACAGAGACAATTATTCCATGATATTTTATTATGGCACATTATGATGATTTGAATTGAGATGGATATCCTTTTAAATGTAGTATAGTGCCTGATTTTATAATCAAGTTCTAAGTGTTTATATTATTGTATGTGACGTCCTTTAGCAAAAGTCCAGTCTAGATAATTAAAAAAATGTTCAACCAAATATTAATTAGTGCTTTTATGTTCAGTCATCTTGCAAGTAGTAGGGTTCTGCTAATTAGAGAAATTGTGGTTTTTTTTGAGTGATATTTTATGTTTCAACTAAATTTTGAATAGTTCAGTAAACCTCAAGTAACTGGAGGCCTAGGGAAATGGAGTGTTTTTACTTAGTTCAGTTTTCCTATTAAATAAGTGCTCATTTGAATATATAAAAAATTCCAAAATATTTTAGTTGTCTTTAAGAAATAAATTCAGCTTTCTTTGATTTGATATCTTTTGGTATATGTCAGGGTCATAGTATAGTTTTCAGTGCTCCATTTAGTCTCCTATTCTAGTTTTGCATCCTTTTCCTTAGTGATCAAATGTGTCCTGTTATCATCTACGTAATATGGATTTAGAATCAGTATTTCCAGCCCAGATTTCTTTTTCTTTCTGAGTTCCAGACCCACCTCAACATGTCTGCTAGATCTCTTTTATTTGGGTAAAGTAAACTCATCACACTTTCCAAACCTACTCTCCCTTCAGGATTCTCCGTTTTAGTCAGTGTATCATCACCCAAGGCAAAAATACGGGACCCTTTCTTGAATCTTCTTTCTCACTCCTATCCCCACATACCAAGATCTACAAGTTGTTGTGATGAGTGTACTACCAAAATGTCTTTTGAATCCTTCCTCATCTGCCCCATTGGCAGTATTTTACTCTGTTAGCATAATTTTCTCTCTCTTGGATTATCGTAAGAGACTTTTAACTAGTGTTCATCCATTCAAGCATGCTCTGTAGTCTCCACTGGAAGCCTGAATGCCTATCTCCTCAGTTCACTCCCACTTTCAAAGCCCTTTGGAGCCCTCCCATATCATCCCTTTCTTGTAAGGGACTCCATTGTTTGTTTGTTTGTTTTCTCACAAAGATGTTACACTAAAGCCTTTTTAAACTTTATTTTATGAAATTGATGTACACATCAGTTTATTTTTGAACCCCCAGAGCCTAGCTAGTTGGGTTCTTTCAAAGCTAAACAAAGTTCCTCCGATCTTGTCCTTAGTCTTATTTTCTAGTATTCATTATGCAGCTCCACACAAACCCTGTGCCTGGTAGATCTTGACCAGCCTGTGCAGCTGATACAGTGGCTGTTTTCAGGGACCCAGGCCAAGGATTCTGACTGGCCTGGACTCTATAAGGATACCGTCCATAATCTCTGTTTATATCTTCATTATTGTTTATACTTTATTTTTTTTAAAGATTTATTTATGCATACAAGAACTGAGGTACAGGCCAGAGGTGCCGGGGGGTGAAAGGGTTAGCCAGAGACAGAGTGGAGGACAGAACAGGCAAACTGACCAAAATATACTGCTGAGGGGAGCAGTGGGCGAGTCAGGAGAGGTCTGCTGCACCATGTGGGTAGCTCCCTGGCTGGCAGGGGGATCGACTGTTGCTGAGGCTGTGGATAGCTTCATAATGCTCTACTTAACTCCATGCACCACCAGGGAGGTCCTATATTGTTTATATTTTAAATAGAAATCCTTTCTTCTGATACTGTTAGAATTGAGAGTTGAAGTTGATTAAAGCTAAAGTCAAAAAAAAAGCATACTTGAAACATTTTACTTCAACATAAAACATTCATTTGTCAATTTTTCATGTATGACCACATCATCTTCTTTGAGTGTGGGTACTTGATTGAAATTCATTGCTCATTCTTGATTAAATTGAACCCAGAATGCAGTCTCTAGATTTCTGGTTTAAAAGAAAGAACTCAAGCCACCTATGCAGCAATCTGAGTGCAGAATCCGAGATTTCTATGATCCCTGCTCCCACCACCAGTTGTTTTTACCTCGTTTACTTGTTCTTTTCCTATGGAGACTGAGCTTTAGAAAGTCTAAGGCATTAAGTCATAGAAATAACAGTTGACTTTTAATATTTTATTTATTTGATCTGCATAGCACTTAATTAAAGTATGCATTTATAATGCAAGAATGCCATTTGTGAACATATTCTCAACTAATGGGAGCAGGGTTGCTTCATGATCAGTATGTTGTAGATATAATCATTTATAGCGGGAATGGACATTGTATTGATTAATTGGCAAAATAGGTTGCATGGAGGTTGGTTAAGTGTAATGGTTTTTATTGCTTATCTCTCTTCATTACAATGTATGAATTCTTAAAAGGCAAGAACTACATATTTATTTTTATCTTTCTATACTATGTATAGTGCCTACTGTATAGTAGATATTTAAGATATATTTATTAATGGATGAAACCTGAGGGGTTTATGTTAATTGAAATAAGCTCTGTACAGGTAGAGGGGCTGGTTTGTTGGTGGTAGATGGTGTTTGGTGTTGGGCTTGGTGTCATATACAATTAATAATGTGAGAAACTGCACACATGAAAGCTATACAGTGTTGTAAACTAATGTTACATTAGTAAAGAGAAAATGAAAAAATCTAAAACAACTATTTGTTGGATGAATGACCAAATTCAATAAGATCTACTAAATTTGAACAATCAGAAAGAACAGTGCCTTGGAATCAGCTGGTGTAGACAGATCATTGACTCTGCAGTCAAACTGCGGTTTTGAATCCTTTCTCTTTTGCATTCTTGAGCAGATTCTTTCTCTTCTTCAACTGAGAAAGGGGAAGAATGACAACTTTTGCTTGTGTGAGGATTAAATGCGAATGTGAAGTAAGTAGCATAGTGCTTGACAGAGTAAGCAGTTAGCAAGTATTAGTTGTCCTGATGATACTTACATCTTATGAGGAGAATGTGACAATTCACTTGGTCTAACTTTTTTCTCATCAAGACTTGAACTACATAATCTTCGCATTTCTTTCCTGCTCTAAAATTCTTTCTGTAAGCAATGTTTCATATTTGAATAGATTTAGGTGATAAATAATCTCGATATTCTTTAATTTGTCATATTTGTAGACTCAGTAAAGGAGGTGATTAGTTGATCATAAACTTGCACCTTGAAAAGCAGATACTTCCAGGCATTAGAACATCTTTTGTTAGTGAAATAACAGCCGGGTGCTGCTAATCATTGTCACACTATTGAAGCATGGTCACCTGAGATAAGCAGCCTGAGGGGCTTAATAACAACCTTTTGCTTAGTTCCTGGTATGCAACTTATTCCCTGATATGAATCCTGCTTCATGTTAAACCATGTACTGCCATGAAGCAGAATGGACCTGGGGGGGGTCCCATGACTACTGACCGTTTACTCACTCCTTGGTATGCAGCTATACAACTCACTTCATGGTATGTAGCCACGTCAAATCTGACCATGTACAGCTGCCAATGCAAACCCACCCGGAACCTTGTAGAAACTGAAAGTTATATAAGCCCCTGACTTCCTACAGACAGGCTCAGCCTTGGGTTGTAAATGTGCTGAATCAGCACCAGTGCATTAAACCTGCTTCTTGTTAGCCCTAGTGTCCACGTTTCCATTGTGCCATATAACACTATAAAAGAGCTAAGGCATGAGGTAGAGACAGAGGTTGCTTGGGAACATTAGCTCAGAAGAAATGCGATAAAATTAAGCTTTGGAAACTAAACTTATGAACCAACTAAGTTTTCAGTTAAATATAGGTACAACTAAAATATAATGTAATGGTAAAGAGTTACTGTATTCAACACACCCTTATTATTAAAAAAGCCATAGATGTGTATTTGTTACAAATTTATCTTTTCATGTTGATCACATTTTCTTCCTGATTAAAAAATGGGGACTGGGAAGAGAAGGAAACAAAATACTTTATTGTAATGGCGCTGCAGTTATTTTCTATTATCTATACCAAATTTTGCATTGTTTTAAGAAATAAGACATTAGCAGGGTTTCTTTCAGTATTCATTCTAGAGCTAATGCTAATACTTAGGTTTTTTTTTTTTAATTGCAGTTATCATTTGGTATGGAAGGAGATGAGTTCTTTGGAGAAAAAACATTTCAGCATTATTGTACAGAATTCATTAAGCATTCACAGCAGATAGGAGATGGTTGGGAATGGAGAACTTCAAAGGTAAAAACAGAAATTTTTATTTCCTGTTTCAATGGTGGTTTTTTTCTCCATGTTTAATGGCAGTAATTGAAACTAATGTATGAAAGCTAGTTTGATTTAGTAAAAGGCTTAAATTGAAGAATATTTTAAAATAGATGATGATGCTTTATTCAAATATATATATATATAAACATTATAATTAGGCTAATGAAGTATTATCTAAAAAAGTCCTTAGGTGACCTGCTTTAATTTAATAGATAAGAATGCTTAGCATATTAATTATCTGAATGTAAACATGCTTCTATGATGCTTTAAATACTTTCCTTACTTTATAATTTTCTTATGAAACTACTTTAGAGAGAGAAAATAATTATAAAATCAACTCATACTGAAACAACTACAAATTGTGGAATATTGTGGACTTTGGGAATTGGGAATCTTTTAATATAAACACATTCTAAATATTTCCTTTTGATTCTATTCAGTAATAACATTCTAAAAAGTCCGTGAACTCAATTATTTTTACATGTACATTCAGTACGGTTCTTTGTCAAAAATTTGTAGAGTTTTTGAATCTCTTTCTTAAAGAATGAGTCAGTTTTCTCTACTTGATACCCTATCTGATTCCTGAAAAAGTGATGAATCCTGATTCTCTGCTGATTGGTTCTCTTTCCTATATGCACTTTGAGAAACTTGAACAGTTTTGAGCTGATTTCTATGATTCAAAATTAGGCCAGGGAAATGCAGGTCTTGATTGGGTCCAGAATGTCACTGGGGAGAGGAGTTATGATTTCCTTTTGGGTCATATACCAGCTAAGTTTGAAATGATCAGGTGAATTTCTTATAGATTCCAGCCCCATTCTCTAAGTTAGTAACTGGACTGTTCATAAACTCTTAGGGCATCCCCTGCTCCAAGATAACAAGACCTTACTAGCACCTCTTATTAATTTTGTCTCTGAGTTTTTTATAATAATTTTTGATGTTTTTGAATTTTTATTTGTCTTTGTTCTTTTATGATTATGATCAATAAATGAAAGAACTGCTAATTTGTGTGTATTAATTTTATAACCATTCAGTCACTTTACTGAATTCTTTTTTTTAGTTTTTCTGTGACTTCTCTTGTGGTTTTTAGACCATCTGCAAATGAACAGATTTTTGTTACCTTCTTTGTAATATTTCTATTATTTTATGATTTGATTAAAGAAATATTAAGTAACAGGTGATAGATCTCCTTACTTTTACTGTGACTTTACTATTAATGCTTCTCATATATAATGATTAAATAAAATGTTGGTTGTTCAGTCACTGAGTGACCCCTTTTGACCTGTTATTAATAATTTGCATGGTTATTCCTTAGGGACCTTCCCTTGTAAATTTTTTTAAAAGAATTTTTCTTTTATCTTAATTCCTGTGACCATTTTAGTGACCTAGTAGAATGAGGGAAGGGAAGATTAGGGAGGAATCTAGGGGTGTGTGTGTGTGTGTAGGGGGAGGTGGCAGACTAGAGCATTGGGGAAGAGCCCAAGAAGGGAAAATTTTACTTGTTATAAGTTTCTGCATTGAATTCATTGAAACTAGTGCCCCAAGAACCAATTTTCAGGATTTGTTTTTATTCTTGGTGTGGCCTGTGCTACAGCTTGGTATGGCTAAGTCAGTCTAGCTTCTTGTTTACTGCCATTGCTTACTGAGTTAGGAAAACCCCTACCTGTTGCAGTGAGAATTATACCTCTAATTAAGGACAGTTCTCTTTAATGTGTGTGTGTGTGTGTGTGTAGTGGGGGATGGTGTTGAGCCCATAGATAGCATCAAAACAAAGCAAAATACTGTTCAGAGAAAATCTTGATAGCCTTAGGGTCAGGACTACAAACTAAAGGCCTGTGGAGACCAGATGTGATGTAAATGTTGCTGCCAGGGACAGACAAGACAGCACAGAGACTGACTCTTATTGTCTGTAGCTGATCAGAGTTCTTGGCCTGTTGCCAGGTAGGAAACATGGGGCCATGGTTACCAGAGCTCATAAGAAAAGTCAAAAAGATTTGGAGTCAGAAATCTCTAAGTTTTTAAATGTTGGCAACTAATTTAAAAAGTTTTTTTTTTTTTTTTTTTTTCCCAAGCACAGTGAGGACCACATCCAACATGGCAGTGATGCATCTATGGGCTCTGGGTGGCCCTTTGATAATCTGGGGTTGGGAGACTGTGTGGGATCCCGGGCTTATTCTCTAGCCTTCTCTCAGTGCTTGCTGTAGATCTGAACTAGTGAAAGGGGCGCCAGGCAAAGCAGATCCCTGTCTTCTGAATTTTGTTAGTGTTTTTGCTACTTAATTTCTAAAATTCTCTACCACTTTTTTTTTTAAATATTTTCTAATTTCCCTTTTTTTTATTTTATTATTTTATTTTGTTTTTGTTTGTTTGTTTATACATGCACTGGGTACAGTCAGAAGCACAGGAGGGTGAGAGAATTCACCAGAGCCAGAGCGGGGAGCAGAGCAGGCAGAAGGACCGAAGTACACTGCTGAGGGGAGCAGCGGGCGGCAGGAGAGGTCTGCGCGCCATGTGGGACCCTCCTCCAGTGGCCAGGGAGCAGCCGGGGATCGAACCGGCGCCGCAGAGGCTGCGGGCAGCTTTGCAACCCAGCGCTCAACCGCTGCGCCACCGGGGAGGCCCCAATCCTCTACCACTTTTGTAAAGGAAATGGTGAAACAATCACTTGGTACTGTCCTTCAGACCTTCTCTCTGTATTGTATCTCAGCCTTTTTTTGGCGACTGTCTGGAGACAGTATTTATGCTATCATTTTATCCTCCACCAATGATTTTCTGTTTTATTAATAGTTGTGTTAAGGTATTTATGGCAAAAAAATTAAGCTGCGCATATAAAAGCACACAATTTGACAAGTTTGGACATATGTATAGACTTGTGCACCTCTACTATAATCAAGAGAGTAAACTTAACACCCACAAGAGGTTCCTTGTACCCCTTAATAATGCTTCTCTCTGCCCCTGAAAATTTTTTATATACTCTTTTTTTATCCCCATATAGAGATTCTTTAAAGAGGGTACACATTGTCATTCATACCTTCAGGCTTGTTCATGAATCCCCTTGGCACCATGGATTTTAGAATCATGACAATAGTTTCTCAGTGGGGCTAGATGCTATTGGCATCTTGCCAGGGCATTTCTTCTTATTCTCCTCTAACATTTCCAAACCCCTCAGAATGATGGTACAACCCCTTTGACAGTCATTATTTAATATGATGGTCTGTCAGATGTTGAAGATAGAAGTGAAGTACATGGATTTGAGAGTCAGATAGACCCACGGTCAAATCCTTGCTCAACCATTTAGCATTTAGTAGCTGGACTAATTATTTAATGTCTCCAAGCTTCATTTTCTCTGTCTATAAAACAAGAATAGCAATAACACTCACCTAATAAGGTTATTGTATAGATTAAATGAGATTTGCATTCAAACAATTTAGCATATCTTCTGGTACTTGGTTAGGATTTTTAATTGGTTGTTTGAAATTTTCAGTGTCTTTCTTTACACAAATAATACTTTACATGAAATTGTGGTTTGGGTCTCAGAAAATTCTCTGAAAGCCTATTTAGCACCAAATAAACGGTAGTATATTGCCGTGAGTTCTCTAGGATAAGAAGAACAGAAGATTAGAATCAAAGAAGAGGAATAGGAGTCTAAGACTTCTTATCTTACCTTTCAATAATGACCTTATCAAAATGTTTACAAGCTTTTCTTTAGCAGCCCCTGATCTCATCAATATTTAATATCAGATGCCTTTACCATAGTTCAAGACCATAAATTTTTTTATCTGAATCACTTCAACAGCCTATGAACTCTTCTCCATTTCACTTGCTGCCATGGTTAACCCTTTAAAACTATCTTTGATGGAGTTCCATTTTCTGCATGACAATTTCTTTTTTCTTTTTTAAAGATTTATTTATTTATGCATACAAGAACTGGGGGACAGGCCAGACACCCAGGGGGTGAGAAAAATCCACCAGAGACAGAGCTGGGAGCAGAACAGGCAGATTGACTGAAATACACTGCTGAGGGGAGCAGCGGGCAAGCCAGGAGAGTTCTGCTGAGCCTTGCTGGCCAGCTCCATGGCTGGGAATCAAACCCGTGCTGCAGTGGCTGCGGATAGGTTCATAGGCTGTGCCTCAACCCCCTGCGCCACCAAGGAGGCCCTACATGACCATTTCTACTTGTGTTTCATTTGAACTCTGTCTTATCTTGGAATAATGTATAAACACTACAAAAGGGTATTTGACGTTCTACATTGTGGTTTCCTGACACATCTCCATCTTCATCGTCCACTTTCCACTTTACCTTCCACTCTTGCCACATTCCTAGAAATAAAAGAAAAGCTATTTTGAAAAATAAAGGGACATTTTTGAGACAGATGGGGATATGTGATTATGGACTAAGGTAAAAAATGTTAGAAAAAACAGATTTTGCAATTGTGGCAAAATCTTGATATACTAAATATAAATAATGTATATATGGATTTGATTTCAGTATTATTCTTTCAATTTTTATGTATGTTCCATAGATGCTTCCGTTTTTTTCTATTTTGTCACAATTTTGGTCTTATTCCTTAACTTTTGTTCATAAGTAGAAATGTTCTTAGCCCAATCTTATATTCAAACCCCTTTTTGGGGATTTGTGCAGTCATTCGAATTTTAACTTGCTTTCTAAAATTGTTTTGTTTTGTTTTTGTGTTTTTCTAACTAGATATAAGTACATAGGTTTAGGACCTCAGTTTTGTGATTGACCTTTCATGGGTTATTGGTAAAAATGATTTCCCTTAAGTCTTCTTTTCTTACTTTTGTATATTAGAAACAGGAACAGAGAACATTTAGATACTAAAAACAAATATCCTACTACTCTTGAGATTAGATTTTGTATAATTAATACCAGATCATTTTGTATGTTATTCTTAAAAAATTAAAGATCCTTTCTTTTCTCCCCCACTTTCAGTCCCTATGCTCTTCAGTTAAATCTACTT